ATGTTGTCATTACAGCTGCACCTATTTTGCACAGCCACCTAACCTCTATCACTTTGGGATTCTATCACTGGCATTGCTATCAGGGAGCCCAGGTCTTTAGCAGCATCTCCTATGGTCATCCCCTGCTTTCAGAGTAAGTGCCCACTGTTAGCACATTCTTCATCTTTCGGTAAGTGGTGTAGACTCTGGGCCTTTCCATGGAACAGAGTCAGATGGAATGTTTGCTGGCCTTACGCAGTATATTCACTTAGCCATGCCCACTTTCCTCAGCCAATTGACTCCTTCCTCCACTGTCTGCCATGGGAGTTCTGGAATCCCTACTTACTTACCATGAGCCTTTGCTTTCTCTAAGCCTACAGCAGGATCATTGCCAGGATATTAAAAACTTAATCACTCAAAATTGCTCTCATATTGACAAACTGTCCATTATCCAACTCTATGTCCCCTCCCCTTGATCTCAGCTCCCTAAGGACCCAGTTAGTATCTCAGCTACATTTTGACTTGGCCCTGTACTCATTTTGTAGTGCGGTCGCTTTCCTCCATTAGACTTAGCACTTTTGTGCTTAGGTTATGTTGTGACATAAACGTAATTATTGTTTGGTGGCCTGTGGGAAAGTAGGGCTAGATCTTGAGTGTACATTGTGTTGCAAGACTGAGATGTCTGCATCATCTTCAAATAAGAGGAGAAAGGTAGGTATTAGGAAAGAATAAACCACTTTTGCGGAGGGTTCGGGGTAATCTAGGAATTTTTAAGATTTTTAAGTTCACTGACCCAGATTCCCCTCTCAAATCTCAGGATCCCACTCTGCTAATCAGGGACCTGACCCTGGTGTAGCAGACTTGCTGGGGTTGAGAATTCAACCTTCTCTGAATCTCTCATATCCTATTAATAAAATTCTATGCCTGATTCTTGGCTTTTTCTGCTTCTAGCTGTAGGAGTGTCTTTTCATATGTTGTCAGTGAGGCTCCCTGATCTTCATATTTTCCCTTAAATTAATGATTAACTACTCTTAAATTTTGTTGTTTTCTCCAATGTATCGATGGCACCTAGAAAAAGCCAGCTGATTCCATAGTTCTTATGATTACTATTTTCCCAAACCATTCAAATACTTGAAATATTGCGCTGACCAGTGCATCTCCTTTTACCAGTATCCCATCTGAATTCACCATTGGTAAAAGTTTTAACAACTGCACAAGTATTGTATATAGAGCTTATCAATAACCCATTAACTTAGACTGCCCCAGGTACCATAACAAAATACAATCAATTGGGTGGCTTAAATAATAGAAATTTATTTTCTCACAGTTCTAGAAGCTGGAAGTCCAAGATCAGGGTGCCAGCATGGTCGAGTTCTGGTGAGAGCTCTCTTCCTAGGCTGCAGAAGGTCACTTTCTTGATGTGTCCTCACATGGTGAAGAAAGAAATGTCTCTCATCCTCCTCTTATAAAGCCACTAATCCTATTGAATTAGGGTTCCACCCTTATGATCTTATTTAACTTTAATTGCCTCCTAAAAGCCCTATTTCCAATTACAGTCACAATGGGGTTATAGCTTCAACACATCAGTTTGGGCGGGGGCACAATTCAGTCCATAGCATCTACCTACCACAAGTGACAGGATGCTGTCTCAAGACCCTCAAGTTTGAGGACATGCTTCCTCAGACTATTATTGGCACACTGTAGCATACACTACCAGAGAGAAGCAAAAGCCATTGGTGAATTTTACATGATATGGTAAAGATTTAACTAATTATGAAAAATAGAGCAGGAGGGAGGGAGCTAATTTTGCTTAATTAAATTACTGAATTTTAAACTGCTTTTTGAAAATATTTTTGCTTGGAGTGTTTGTATTGCACTCTAAAATATAAATGGATACCACTAAATAAAGGGAAAACACTTAGAAAATATGTCCTATAATTTCCTATAACATAAAATACGACAAATAGAGCTGTTCTTAAAATTAATTTCTAAGAACAGAAGCTGATAGCATTTGAAGCATTTTGTTATTATATAATCTTTTGATTTTTTTTAAAAAAGAAACTATTAGTTTCACTGTTTTTAAATCAATTCTGTCTTCTTGTTGAATACAATCTTGAAAATTAAAAAGTAAATCAATTGTTTTTATGTTTCATTCATTATGTATGAAATTATTTGTCAATATTGCCTGAATTACCAGCTTCCTAATTTGTATAGTCCAAAATACTAAAATTTACTAAGGTGTAAATCATTGATATTGAAGAAAATTTTGCCTTGATAACTTAAAAAAATCTTGATTCTTCAAATAGTGCTTCAGAAATTCTTCTCGGAAACTACAAAACATTTCTCCTATTTGGGTGTGACAACTTGAAAGCACTGTAATTAATTTCAACATGTGCAGAAAAACCTCAGCCTTAAGTATGACTTTATACTTGGGTAGAAATGTTTATGTATCATAATTCAAACACATTTCATTACATAAACATATCTATTCAGAATTTACTTATAGGCCAGTGGCAGAGACAGACAAATGCACAATTATAATAAAGAAAAGGAATATAGGGAATAACAAATATCAATCATTTCTCTGTCTTGGACATTTTCAGCCTTACTTAAAAATGGACCAAATTTTAAACTGTCATTTAAAAAGTTCAGCTGAAATTCCCAGAAGATTTAATACTATTTAAAACTTTATCTCTAGAGATCTCCACTTGTCAATGGAGAGAAGTACTTCAATTACTCTATCACTTGGTTGTGGCAACTGCAAGATGCTCTCTGAGTAGGATGTTCTGCTTTTGCCCAGATATAAGTGTGTGAGAGTGGTACACTCTATCATGAATACAGCTCACTGCTGACTCATATAATATGACTGGGACCTTTACCAATAGTTTTAATTATGCATACTAATCATTCTAAAGTGGATCTTATGGGGGAGAACACTTTTGTTCTGTCTGTATGAAATCTCTATTTTATAATAGAATTTCAGTGATACATTAAAAAGAACAAGATATTCAATAAATAACATAAGTTATGCTGGCAAATCAAGCTCTAGTGCCAACATCCCTCTTAATTATTTAAGCAAAAGTAATTTGTCATACGAGTCTCTTGCATATTTTTTTCCTAAAGCTGGTTCCATTTGTTATCCCATATTCCCATATTGTCCTAATAAAGTTAGAAGGAGAGCTTCTTTCTCTCTGCATTTAGACCTTTCATTTTTAACTCACATTTCCATTTCTATCCTTGTAGCCCATACTTCTCCTCGGAGCTCCTGATTTATATATCCAACTGCCCACTGAGTATGATCCAGCCTCTTACTTTTCTCTTATCCTCCAAATCAGACAAATCTTTAACCTCTACCAACTCCTTTAGCAATAGCTTTAAAATCCACGCTCTGTTCTCTATCTTTACTGCCTCTGCCTTAGCTTAAGCCCTCAGCATCACTTGTTTGGATTATTATGATGGTTTCCTAATTAACTCTGTCTGCCTAATATTTTATTCCCTATTCATCTGTTCTGCACATTATTTCTGTGTGTTATTACTAAAATTCAAACCTAATCAGGTCATTCTTTTGGTTAAAAACTTTAATGTGATTCCATTGCCTACAAGAAAAAGTATAAGGTCCTTGGCATGGCAGAGAAGGGTCGCCATCACTGGCTCCTGGTTTCTTCTCCAGCCCATAGATATTGCCCCTTCCATGTGGCACAGTCATCAAACTACATCATTATTCTCCAGATTCATACGCTTCTCAGGTCACTGGGCCTATTTTCTTTGCCAGTAATTTTCATCTTTGTCTCATCAAATTGGCAAAATCCTTCCCATAATTTTCATTTTATTTCTTACATCTTCTTATAAAGTTTGCTTGACTTTCCCACTATAAGCAGGGTCACCATATAATTTTTTTGTCTGAACTAGGACACACTGGAGAATGAAAGAGGATGAGACTAATACTAAACTCTAGTGGTTATTGGGGCAAGAGTCATAAACCAGGATTTTTCTGGGCAAACTAGAATGAACGACCCTTTATCTATAAGTAGAACTGATTATTCTCTCTTTTTTGTGCTTCTTCTTGCCTTGTGTTAACTACTATCCCAGCACTTATTTCACTGTCTTGAAATTATATTTATATGTCTTTCTCACCCAGGTGGCCCTTAAGGATTAAACACTATGCTTTGTTCATCTTTGTATATACAACAATTAACCCAGCAAATCTGATCAGGTCATCAATATATGATGAGGAATGGAAGATCTATAATTGGGTTACACAAATAAAGGACCCAAGTTTACTAAAGCTGGTGGGCCAACCCATACATCTTACTAAATTTTAGATCCCTGTTAAGCCTGTCTGAAGGCAGGAAGTTCCATGTGCTCACCTTAGGATAATTCTTGGAACGAGATTTTGGAGACAGTGTGAGCACACCAGGATCAGGAAGGTGCAGAAATGTTTGACAAACAACATAAAGGGCTAGGTAGTGCCCAGAAACCACAGATAAAATGGAAGCCAGATGCAGACGAATTAAGAGTTGAGGACTTCCCAGTATAAAAGCAAGGTTAAGGTAAAATAGAAGGTCAAAAATCAGAAGGAGGAGTCAAAACGGCCAACATGTGGCACTTTACTAATGACAAAGAATCCTGAAACTTGGGCTGATTTAACCCTAGCTAGGTTTGTACGTGGAATATTGGGCATGGGACCAGTGATGAGAGAGCATTTGAAAGCAAACTTAGTTGGCACCAATTGATTTAAAATACACATATCACAGGTTCCTATATTAATAAGGTCCATACATACACAGGAAAGCATGTGTGCAAATTTTAGTCTACACATATCTGTCTGTGTGTTTATAAAATTACATGCTATATATAAAGAACAAATAATTATTTAATCCGTTCATTTAATTTCTATAGAATTTAGATTTTCTTATATACGCAATTTAAAAAATAGCTTATTTCTGGAAATTAACTAAACCAAAGACATTGCATGTTCTTTCTGATGCAATAAAAGTTTCTTAATAAGGGGCAGAATACTATTTTGATTACTCAAAGTTTTATTGCTCAACTCAAACATCCCCTCCTTAGAGAGACCTTCTCAAAGCTTCGCTTAAAATATTCCAGCTGGGTACAAAATATGCCAATATAAAAATATGTTCCAGTCTGTAACACTTACATTTTGTTTCAAATTAGATACATTTTAACTCCATTTCTTCATCCATCTGCAAAGAGGCAGAAAGTCTGAAAAGATCTAGGGACGTTATGCCCTTGATAATACTGGCTCTCTTCAATAAATTATTTCCTTTGTATCATTTCCATTGAAAGATTTTTTTTTCAGTGTTTCATTCTCCAAGAAATATTAATAACTTTTCCCTTGGTGTTTTGCTTCTTTGAAACTTGGTCTGGCCATCTTTTCTCCCACCACTGTTGTTTTCTTTGTTATCAGTGAAGCCACCATCTGCTTGAAAAGGAGGGTCCTTTAATAGGACTTGAAGCGCTAACAGTGCTGCCTGAAACAAGAGTCTGAAGTTAGATGTTGGCGCACAACCATCTTTGCTTTCAGCGCGATGCAACTACCTCCCCTGGGCACCCAGCTTTCTCTTGGGTTCTCCGTTTATAAACCTCCCTGGTAGCGCTGCCTTTCCAGACGGCGTCCATCCTCTTCTGTCAAAATCTCTCCCCTGTCCCATTCCATCTCAGGCAATTGTCTTTTGGAAATCAACATGAACAAATCCATGCTAAAGTGTTGCTAACTGATTCCCTGAACTGACAAAGTTTTCCAACCAAGGAAAAGGATGAATCTCTGTGGTGCAATTTCTGGCCAGAAAATAATACATTTGGTAATTCAACAATTCTGTTGCCCCCCCTCCCAACATGTCACATTGGTTACTGCCAATCCTGCTTGTATACGACTTGGGCTAGGGTGATGTCAATCTTTGGGTTTAATTTTCATGAGCTTTGTGAAACTATTCTAAAAAATCCTGCCAGCTCTTTGTTAATAAAACACATTTAAATAGGTGTAAGGTGGCTAAAAACCTAACTTCAGAGAGGCAATTTGGGAACAGGTGACAGTTGAAAATAGATAACAACCACAGGAAAAAGCCTTTAGAGTTATAGAGGAGAGCATTCTCTGCCTAGGAGATATATTGCTTTCACCTTAATCCAGGTTGGTCTATAAAACCCTCTCCTGGCAGCTAAGGCAGGCATTTCGTAAATGACATTCTATAGGAAGCAGTTCGTACAGGGCATTTTGCAGCGCACATTAGCAAAATGTATTTCCGTACTTCCGTGATTTTGTGAATTAGCAGACTGCGCTAATGACAGCCATAGCAAGAGAACTACAGTTAATGAGAAACTCTAAATGAGGCACAAGAGGCTCCATACTTTAAGACATTGCAACCTCAAATACTGTGAACTTACTTTCATACAAGGAAATAATCAAACCACCATGAATGAAGATAGAGCAAAGCAGAAAACGAATCAGAACAACAAACACTGCTGGACCAGCTGGACAAAAGATAAGTAGTATTATAATAGATCGTAATTTCCCAAAGGAGAGAAAGTGGTGGTCAGAAGCCAACCCACACTAGCTTTCACAGGTATGTGTATATAACATTTATGCTTATGTTAACTCATAGTACATATAAATATACATGTATGCTTATGCTAATTCATAGTTTATGTTAAAAAATTCACTTCCATGTATTTATTCCTATAATCCTTTTGTTCTTTTATTACGGTTATGCAATTTTTAAAAACTTATTAGACTTTAATAAAAAGTCTTATTCAGGTAAATTAAGGAGACTCTTGAATTGGAATTATGATTCCACTGGATTCTATGGTAACATCTCCATTTAAAGCATTTGAGTAGCTTCCAGTGGCACTTAGAATAAAATCTAGCCTTATTCAGTAGCCTACAAAGTCTACAGCGTCTGGCTCCTGCATCCTCCCAGCCTCAAGTTAGTCACTCTTCACCTTAATCACGACACTCCAACCATCCTTAACTTTCCCAAGTTCCACGAACACCCAAAGCCCCTTCTTGCTTTAGGACCCCGCCATGTGCTATCCACTCTGGCAGCTGAGAATTCTCTTCTGTCTGCTCTTATCATGGCTGGCTCCTTCTAATGCTTCATGTCTTAATTTAAGTATGACCTCCTCAAAGAGACCCTTCCAAATCTCCATGTTTAAACTGCTTTCATCTTTGTTCTCCCCCCTCCATCGCTATTATCTATCAGAAGTCAATTTCTTTCCTTTATAGCACTTACCACAAATTGTGCCTTTTTCTTTTTTTCTAGTAGTGTGTTGCCGAAGCCTTCTTTAGGGTGGGGACCGTGTCTGTCTTGTTCACCGCTTTATGTCCCACACCTAGCATGGTGTCTGGCTTACATTAGCTGCTTGTCTTAGCTGGGATGGATGCCATAGAGATAGGTTCAAGACAAACTTTGAGTGCTAATTCTTTATTGAGAGGATCCATCCCAGGACAGCAAGACTGAGAGAAAAAGAAAGTGAAATAAGGAAGAAGGAAAAATGTGATTACAGTCAGGCTGTCCATGACCAAGCTGGCTGCAGCTTCTCAAGACACACAGCCAGCTGCTCAGCCATGAAGGATGTTTCCAGATGGGCTGTACACAAGCACTGTGCCTTGGAGCGATGGGTTGGAGGGAGGAAGGGAAAGGAATTTATATCCTCTTTTCTCTCATTGATCAAGGTTCTCCGGTTCATGGTTAACTAGCCAACCTCGTCTACCGCCATCTCTGCACTTCAGGGCAGCCACAAGGAAGCTGGATTGCATGCCCTGTGTTGTGGAGCTTCATTTGAGCTGCAGTGTCGCAGATGGAAAGAGAGTCTGTACAGCTCTGGTCAGGTCAAGCCTCAGTTCCAGATCTATGTGGCTCCCACCACAAAGGGCATGGCAGAGGCGGTGCCAGACTTCATCACTCACTGGGCAAGCGGGTGTTGCCTGGGGATAATTTACCACTGCTATAGCCATGGCAATACCAGTAGCAGCCAGAGCTCTCAAGGACCAAGTGGCCAATGGCCCAGGAGATCGGTGAGGCCGAGGAAACTGGAGGAGGTGCATAAATTGGATCTGATTTGGTGCTCAATCTATGTTTGTTGAATGGATAAATTTAATGCTGATAGTAAGCTATCTTAGTAAGCAGATTTACTTAGAGCCTGAATACTCTGAGCAGCCTTGTTTGGAAAAAAATCACTTTGAATGCCCCAGTTTTAACATCCTATATTACTACCTTCAGACTTTTAACAGAACAGAGTCTATTCAATATATCTCAGGCCAGCCCTTAATTTCTGGCTGAATGTACCAACACCCTCATTCTCCACTCAGCACACCTATAGTCCTCCACTGACTCCCCATCACTCACAGAGCCATCTGCTTTGTTCTGATCCATCTTTCTATATTTCAACAGATGAATTAGAATCTATTAATTGGGTGTCTCGTGTGGATAGGCAGCACAAAAGGAGTAATTGACTAGGAGTTAGGCGAGCTGGATTCTAATCTTATCTCAGCTCCAATCTCACGTAAAGAAGTCTTAGGGCAGACTTAGCCATTGGACGTCCTAGGATCAGATCAGTGGGAAAGGGAAGAAATGTGGGATCAAATGGCTTTGAGGATAGGGGTACTCACCTGGCTGGTGCTCAAAGAGGATAGTCAGCAGCTCAAGTCATAAGGTCCAGGTCCAAATAACATGAAAATTTTGGGTTCAAATTGCTATTGATATCTAAATAGGGTTGATATAGTGGATGGAGCACTACATCATTTAAACTCAAGACAGAGGATGGCAGTTTTACAATTGACATGTTTTGTCATTTGGTTTGGTTTGGAAAAAGATTTAAGCCCTGAAGCTTGGAATATATGAAGCTGATACCAGCTGCCTAATAGAAGGACTTGGCAGAGAAAAGAATGGAACTAAAGTTTATTGAGCATCTGCTATGTGCTAGGCTGGGTGCATACAACTTCTCCAATTAAACTGATCCTCATCAAAACTTTACATGGAAGTTTTATCATTTATGTTTTAGACATGAGTAAATTGAGGCCCAGTAAAGTTAACCAACTTCCCTAACTGAAGGCCGTCAGATTTGCCTAATTCCAAAGTTGCGGTCTCCCACCATATCAAGTTAACTTATGGAGAGGCAAGTCCTGGGGAGGCAGACTCCTAACCAAGCATGCTTCAGACGAGGGCAGGGTTCCAGTCCTAATAGAGTTTAAGGGCTGGAATCACTCAGGCACCCTCACTACATGTCCTTGGCCAAAGCACCCCACCCTCAGTTCCTCCACTTCCTGGCTATAGGTGAGGTAAAGTCTCTCTCCATGTGTGTCCCATTTACTGGTACTGCTGTGTGAATTAAAGAACAACCAAACCAGACAAAAAACATTATGAGGTCCCTACCCTTAGGGAAGTTGCAGTCTTCTCATAGAAAAGAAGAACATTCATGAAATTGTTATTAGCAACACCAGGTAGGATATGATGACTCTAGGGGTATGTGTGTCTACGTGTGTGTGAGATAGATATGATGGAAGAAGTTTCCAGAGGGGTCATCATTTTGGAAGAGGTAGGGGAAAGCAAGAATGAGGTTCTGGTGTAGAATAAGGGATGCGGAGAAAGTGTGAATAAGGAGAGGGGCAAGTGGGATTTGAGGCAGTTGTTGTCTTTCCTCAGGACCACTGGAACAGCTTCCGTAGTCCTGTTAGTACAGACCACATGTTGCTTATAAGAATCCCTTCCGCTCTCCAAAAAATATACACGCACACACAGACAAAAATAAACTATAGCTTTCCCCCAAATCTCTGCAGTCACTCTTCATTTGATTTCACGTCCTATTTGTTAGAGTAAAAGAAACGTTACCAATCTTCCTCATCTCACAATTTTGTGCCACATTCTTTAATAAAATATAGCTGGTCTACTCACTTTCCATCCCATAAGATATTTGATGGGAAAGAAGAGAAAAAGAATACTAGACTACCAAAAATAGAAAATTTAAAACTTGGGGTTTTCTTTGAAGTTAAGAAATCATTTATTTAGGATTCCATTTTCTGTTCTACTTATTTGAAATAAAAACACTGGAAACCAAAACCTTGTGTCAAAGAGATGGCACACATGTACAGACAAAAACCTTAGTCTGAAACAGAGTAATAGATAATAGCATTCATGGGTGAGCAGATTATAGTTAAAATTACATGCAGATTTCCAGCATAAGCTAGTTTCTCATTCAGTCAGAACTTTCATATGCATTATCATTTTTAGAGTCTGAATTCTTTATGCTTGGTCTTATCTCAAACGTAAAGCCTTTAGAAGTTGAACATGACGTCCTTAGCTGCTTTAGAGCTATGCATGGATAATGAAAAAAATCACATTCCTATTTTCACAATTAAAGACAACTTTCTGTGGACAGATGCTTCAATCCCCATCAAATTATAAAGCTGAAACTTTCCATGTGTCTAATCCTCAAGAAAAGTAGATTCCTGGGATAATTTTAACTCTTTTCCTTAAAGATAACAAAACTATAAGTGTAGCCCAAAAGCCACAGATCTCATCAGCCTATAAACACTAAAGTTTTAACATTAACGAGCAAGCCTGATTTTTTCCATTATAAAAATATTTAACTATAAGACCTTTCGAATACATTAGAAAGAAGGGGAAAAAAGAACCCTTCACCTAAATATAACAAGGATTAAAATGGTGCCAGTTTTGCTTCAGCAATGTTTGAGGGGTGAAATGTAATGGGCAGAATTGAAGCGCAGAAGACCCCTCGCCAGGTTTCCCTCTCTCGGAGTTAACTAGCATCCCGAAGCAATTTGCATTCCTCTCCATCCATGCTTTCGAAAAATGTTTACCATATATAAATGTATATGCATCCATAAAAATATATTCCAGTATTTCATGTATTTTAAACATACATGTAAGCGATGGCATATTGTACTTATCTTTTTGCAATCTGCTTTTTTCACTCAACATTTTGTTTTTGAGAATTATCCATGTTGATGCAGATAGAAAGTTAAACATTATTTCAGACAGTGAAAACATCCCAGCTCACTGAGGAAATCTTGCAAAGACCAAACGGCGTTTTGTGGATGTCCCCAGAAGCTGCTTCACCATTGGGTGTCTTGGCCACCCTTCCCTTAGCTGTGATTCAAGATTCTTCCCACATCCAGGTTGGTAAAACTGGGACTTGTAGATGCACTTGTCCTCACTGCCGCCACCCTCAGGGCTAGCCAAGCAACCATTCTGCCCTCACCCTCTGCACCTAAGGGACAGACCTTACCAATGTATCCAGGCACCAGTGTCCCTAATACTTACTGTGCCCGGTGAACCAATAGTTTGCTGTAAAATGAAAATGGGCTCCCAGACTTTTGTTAAACTATTAAAAGGACTGTACTTGGCTGTTTCTTTCAGTGTTTTGCAATTTGAGTGAGCTCCTTTGGTAAACACATAGAGTTGTCAACAATTCTACCCCCACCTCAGCAGACGCATCACCTCCTGATTGAGTGAAACTGGGTTGGTTGCACGCTCAAGTTCCAACTGTCAAGATGCTCCCTCACTCTCCTCCAGCCCTCCCGCTGGATTTCTGAGTGAGCCTTCTTTCTCTCAAGCACCCGCTGTTTCTTCTTAAAATAAATGTTTTGCAGCTTCCCACTCTCATCCTTGCTGATGAAGATCTTTCAAATAATTTATTTCTATTCTAATCTTTACTTCCATGTAAATTTGTGGATGCAAGTAGATGCTTGGGGATGTGATACAGAGAGGGGAAAAAAGTATCACTCAGTTCCATTCATCAGAAAAAAATGATCCTCAGCTCTGGCTCAGCTAAGACCCCAAATACATCAGGACATACTTGAGATGAGGATGTCCATTATGTCTGGGATGGGTAAGCATAGGAAGGCATTCCAAAAATGTGGCCCATAATGACCTCATCCTTTATAACACAATTTCCCCTCATGGAAGAGGCATATAAGATCAGGGTGGCAAGCAGAAACTTCAGAAAAAGTTCTTCAGAAGATAGCAGATCAAACTTTCCCAAGGCTCATGCCATTCCTTTAATAGATTCTCTTATTCCTTGGCTGAATATATATTTGTTGACATATGAGCGCTATTTCAGAGTTCACACTCAAGGGTGTTTTTATATTCATCAGGCACAATTTTCATACATATTCTCTATTCACTGATACCATAAACATTTCTAGCATGCTGACTATGTGAAAATCTCTAAGCTAGGCACTCATGACAGTGTTACCTTTGGTCTCTCTTGGATTGCAATCATCTATTAACGTATTACTCTCCTGGAAGTTTGGGCTTTTTGAAGGCAGGGGTTGCATCTTACTCACTGGTATATGAATCTTTGATTCAAATCACGGTTCTGTCATTCGCTGTGCTGGCTTTGGTGAATTATTTAACATCTTAGAAGCCTTAGTTATGTGAAATTCATATAGCGATATTTATTGTAGAATTTCAGAGTGAGGACTTAACTTAATGTATGTAGAAAAACAAAGCCAGTACCTAATGAATATCAGTTTCTTTCTAGGTCCAGAGCACCTTAATTAAGGTTTTGAAGGAAAGCAGAGGGAGAATAAATATTTTTTGAATGGAATTATACAATAAAATGCAAGGAACCTGGTAATAACCACATGGAAAAATATACAAAGCTTAGAAAATGCTTTGTAAAGCTTCATGTCAATTTCCTCACTATTGCAACTCTGCCTGTTTGTTTCTGAAAGACAGAGGATGCACCGAGACCCTCAACCTCTGTGTTTGCTAATCTGTACATCGTAAGTACTTAGCACAGAATTGACTCAGTGTCTGCATGGGTCAGCACAAGCCAGCGTGGGGCTGTAGCTGACTTTAATTTGGAATCCTAAGTGAGCCCCCTCAGCGGGACGCCTGAGCTCCCATCACCTGCCCTTGTCAATCATTTTGCCTTTCCCTCCAATTCTATTTCAGATGAGATCCCCAAGGAACCATGGGAAATCATGCCATCCTCAGAGGATGGAAAAGTTCAGCCTAATCTGAAACCCAAATTGGCCTAACAGCCTCCTGTTTTAAAAATAATTTTTAGGCCTTTTGATACTTTTGTCTCTAAAGGTGCATTTTACAACGGGATGGCTGTACATACACAATTAGCTTACCATAGAATGTCTCATTTTTAACAGAGTAGATTTAATTTATCCTGCAACCAGGAATGTCCGTAAAGGAAAAGGTCTAGAGCAACAGAGAAAATGGAGCATTGACAATGTGCAAAGTCAGTACTTCTCTAGCTGAGCTCAGGCTGTGACAATCATCTGTCCAGTCCATTTGTTCATGACCTTTTAAGACTCTTCTGAGTGTCATGACTTTTCACGAGACACATATCAATAACTACCAAAGTAACGAACCAATAAGGGAACATGGCCAGATAGGCAAGTGACATTGGGTGCAAAATTGTTCATTTTGCTCAGCGACCTCTTTTCACTGGGTCACTGAAGTCCACTTTGGTTTGCTTTCTCTCCATCGTTTTTCCTATATCGCATGTTGTTTCTTCTTTTACTTGTTTGCTTTCTCACATGCCACTCTATTTTACTTAAAAACAAAAAGCTGCCATCTATTGAATACTCCCAATTTCCCAGGCACTTTGTACATGATTTACGTATCATCATATTTTCCTCACACATCAGTCCTCGGAACTAGGCATCATTCTCCTCATTTTACAGATGTGGCAACTGAGACAGAGAGAGGTAAACAATTTGGCCAGTTATACAGCAAGTTAGTGGTATAGACATTTTATACCCTGATCTGACTCCAGAAACCATATTCTTAATTAGTACTCTCTATAGTTCCCCGTTCCTGATCTCTTCTTTGTCTTTGAACTTCCAGAAGCTAAAAATGGCATTTCTTGCACATCTCAGGGAATATGACTGTCTACATTTTAAGTTTTCTTAGGAATTTTTTAATATGAGGTTGATAGAGGGAAGTCTGTCAGACTCACATCTCCTGAAACAATGTTATTGTCTTCTCATTTTGCAAAAAATTAATCATGTTTAAAGGCACTGAATCCAGAATTGACAAAATATGAAGTCTTTAGATCTTCAACATGCAGGAGGACACATGGAGCCCAGAAACTGCTCTTCAAGCCCAGCTCCCATTGAGCTGATTGGTGAAGCATTAGCAGGTATGCTGCGCCCTGACTAACTGCCCGGCATGTGCCAAAAGTTCAACCTTGAGAAATAATATCAGAAAGAATTTCCTAACAGATACATAATCCATCATTTTATCCATGGACTAATCCAGAGCACTAGAGAGTTGAATAATATTGAGCCCCTCTAGAATTATTTTTCCCAAATTTAATTTATGACCTCAGTCTGATTAGCAAAACCCATCAACAGGTCCACCAAGTGTGGCAGCAGGGTACAATTCCAGGGGCACCTTCACACACACAATGACATGACCAGTGTCTTCTGGAGTTGTTCAACAAGTATCCCTGTCTATAGAACAGCTTTATGAACGTCACCCCAGAATTTACTAGAAAGATGTTATGAGCCTTCTGCTTACTCCTTCACTCTGTATTATGCTAAAAGAATTCAAAACAGAAAACTCTCTGTCTTCAGTGCCTGGAGCAAAGTGCTTTTCCTGATTAATTGGTATACTTTTGATTCAAAATGAAATATTTCTTAAATAGTTTTGTATAGTTCTCCAGAATTTCAGAGAAAGGTCTATGCCCACCTTTAATAATTTCAGGACTTCATAGCATACATTTTTTAATACCTCTGTTGCCTTTCATTACTCCTTTATCCTAATAAATTTATCTTCAACTTTAAAAAAATGTTAGAGGATTACATGCATTTTTAGCATACTCAAATCCTTTAGGAATAAGACAAAAAATAAAATAATTTACAAGCCAGCCCTGATGGTCTCGTGGTTAAAGTTTGGTGCTCCCACCACTTCGGCAGCCCAGATTCATTTCCTGGTCACAGAACCACACTAACCGTCTGTCAGTTGCCATGCTGTGGTGGTGGATCACACAGAAGACCCAGAAGGACTTAAAACTAGGATATACAACCATGCACTGGGGCTATGGAGAGGAAAAAAAAGAGGAAGATTGGCAACAGATGTTAGCTCAGGGCCAATCTTTCCCAGCAAAAAAAAAAATAAGTAATAAATAAAATAAAATAATTTATAAATGCATATAAGGTAGTCAATATTTTTTTCATTTAAAAGCAGTATATGCTAAGAGAGCATATCTTAAAAATTCTCATCACACACACAAAAACTTATAACTATGTGTGGTGATGGATATTAACTAGTTGTGATCATTTCACAACACAGTCATGTATCACTCAACAATGGGGATGTGTTCTGAGACATGAATTGTTAGGCAATTTCATCATTTTGAAAACATCACAGAGCGTAGTTACACAAACCTACATGGTATGGCCTAATACCACCTAGGCTACATGGTACTAATCTTACGAGACCACCATCACACATACAGTGCGGCACATGACTGTATATACGAATATTGAATCCTTATGTTGTACACCTGAAACCACTATGATGTTATTGTGTTAATTATCTTAATAACAAAAGAGTCAAAAAAATAAATAAAAGTAGTATATATTCATTTTATTATATTGTAAAACAATACACGATTATTATGGAGGTATGAGATAATGCAGATTATCTAAAGAACATCAAAAGAGAAAATAGACCACCGAAGATTATTAAAAAGAAGAAAATAGAAAATATCTGTAGCCTCAAACTCAGGTATGTACTATTTTGTAGTCTGGTTTTTCAATGTATCAATGTATGAAGCACATTTTCTGTGTTTTTTAGGTGTGTATATAGTACACCTGTTGATTTTTTTTTGACATGCATATTGTATTCTATTACGCATACATATTGAAATGTAATCAAGGGTCCACTAATTTGGGCCCTCTAAAGCATTTCATAATTTTCACTGTCATACACAGTGCTATAAGGAACATCCATGTAGAAAAATTTTTTAAAACATCCTCAATGGTTTCCTTAAATAAACTAGATTAATTTTTAAAGTAATAAGAGAATTATAGTCCTGATGCTAACGAAGGTAAACTCAATCAAGCTAGTGTGTCTCTCTGTCCTACATCCTTATCTCTAATTATATTCTTGACCAAAGTTTCTCAAACTTCCTTTTACTCGAAGACAAAAAACGTTGGTGATTTTTATGCCTTTTTTTTTTTGGAGTGAGGAAGATTGTCCTTGAGCTAACAGCTGTGCCAATCTTCCTCCATCTTGTACGTGGGATGATGCCACAGCATGGCCTGATGAGCAGAGTGTAGGTCCGTGCCTGGGATCTGAACCCGCGAACATGGGCCTCCGATGCAGAGTACACAAACTTAACCATTACACCACTGGGCTGGCCCCTCTAAGTCATTTTTTTAATCATAGTTTCTTACATATTTACAACTTTAAAATCAGGAATAAATCCACATGCCAAAGTTATCAATAAGGGGTAGCCATAATCTCTGAAAGGTGGTGTCCATCACTTCACAGTTTCCAGAATAAATAAATGCTCTGTGGATTTTGGTGAGGCTTATAAAGGTAGAAGACTGTCCAGGACTGAGATGAGTTCACTTACAGAGCCTATTAGCCTTTGTAGCCTTCTTTGTAAGAGAATTTTATTAATACAAAAACCTTTTAATCGACTGCCTCCCAGAGCTTTGCTTCTGTTGAGACTACCTGGGGCTTGGAGCCCACAGATTCTCCTGTGACCTGAGCGCTGGGATTCCCAAATGCCCACCCAAAGCTGCTACCCCTTCCTCATCTAGAGAACTAAAATCGACACCACAAGTTCAAAGTACACCTCTGGTTTTGGAGAGGCTGTTGTTATTATTGAATCACAACAGAAAACAGTTTGGTCCTCTTCTGTGTACAAGTTAAGAAAGCCCTTGTGAGAATCTTCTGAGAGTGACTGCTGTCTTGGTGAGCAACGCTTTTGCTGGTGCTGGTTTGTGGTGTACTTCCTTAGATTTAATCTCTTCCTCATGGGTAAACATGAAGCCTCAAGTTTACATCTGTTGTACTATAATTGAGGCAGAAATCAACTGAAGTTATCTACAAGAAAAAAATATTGACCTGGCCCCTCCTTTGCCTCTTAGCACTCTTCCTCCCCGATCCCCCACTCAAGCAAGGTCCGGGGAGCAGCCTCCCCTCCTCCCTACCGTGAAAGAGGAGCTTCCTCCACGGGATCTGTCTTGTATATTGTCTCCATATGCCGCTGGGAAACCTCTTCTTGAAGTCAAGTGATAAAGTTGCACTTCTGTTTCCAATGGCACACGTCCAGCCCGGAGTGAGACTGGCAGCTTTGTGAGAGCGCGTCTCAACTGGGTCGCCAAGTACAGTAGTGCAGCTGGAAAGCGTTTTCTCACTGTTGTGCCCCAAGACTGCGGTTAGTCTCAAATTCCTGTGAATGTGACTAAAAAATGTTTGCGTTTTAGCCACAATCACTAACAAATTATGCTCAGCTATTCAACGCACAGACCAAAAGAGAGCCTGACCCCATTATCAAAACTCAAACCCAGATGGTGAGGAGTCCCAGCCTAATGAGGGCCTCTCAGTCATTTCAAACAAATTTCTTGTCAATCAAGCCACATCGCATATGGGGTTCTCCTTTCAAAGGCATCGGAGTTTGAGGATTCAGAGGCCTCCCCGAGCAAAGCAATGCCTTCCTCCTAAAATTAGTTACTCATTTTTAAAGAGTTTTCAGAACATTTTTTCTCCTCCTCTTCTTCCTTCCCCAAGAAAACAGATTCTATTCTGTCTAAGCTCGATGACTGTATCAGATTCAAATCTCAAAATGGAGCAGCCAGAAAGTCTGAACTACATTCTTGGCCCACTACTCAGGGAAAAAAAATGAACTCAGAGGAGAGGAAAAATATGGAAAAGCTTTATTAAATGGGCAATGCTTCTGCGTTCAAAATAAATTTACCAGAAACTATAAATCCAGGATCCTATTCTCACTTTGGTTTCAAAGAAGAGTTAGAAGGAGAACCAATCCATTGTCTGGAACTTAACAAAGGCACAGAGAGCAGCTGTCGTATTTCCATCTTTCTAGGTGAGATTCAGAACTCTGCCATCTGCCCAAAAGGGCTTGGCCACATAGACCCGTCTTCACTCTGTTTGGTCCCATCAGACTTGGTTACTTCGTCACTCTCAGTGAGTCGAAAGCTGTCCCCCTGCCTCTTTGCTTTCTCTCCTCTCTCCATACGCCATGCACGCTTCTTTGACTATGAAGTGTCACCCCTGATGTTCTCTCTGGCATCTCTTGCAGGCTGCCATGCTTGGTGGTGGATTCCCTCCCCCGGAGAGGCGGCCACAGCTGTGTGTCCTATGAAAGAACTGAGCTGCTTGCTGTGCATGAAGTAGAAGAAAACCAGCATAAATCGCCATCCTAATTGCCCATATGGGAGATTTGCAAAGAAGAGAGTGAGTAAAATGGAAGAGCAGGGCAAGTCGTATGCAGAAGGCTGAGACCAGAGTGCTGAGGGAAACCAGCCACCATATCAGCAAGTCCTGAAAATTGTTGTTGTTTCTGTTACTGCTGCTAGGGATTCAAAGAGAGTTTTAGAGCAAGACAAAAGTCCGATGGTGTGAGGACTGAACTCCATTTTCTATGTGAGTCTGAATACAGAGAAAGATAAACAGAACCTTTCACCGATAGGCATATTTTAGAGTTCAAGTGTGACATGACGGGTCCAAAATAGATTCCACATGATTGGAGCAGATCCAGAATCCCAGTCCCTGAATAGCAATCAGTGTTAGAAGCTAAGAGCCGGCATCCACTATCATCACATAAAACATGGAAGAAACAGCAAATCCTACACAGCTGTTAGTGAATCAGGACAATCCATACGTGGAGCTTTATGCTATGGGCACATTTTCTTAAATTACTCAGCTTAGTTTAAATTGAGGGTCGCTTTGACTTTTTACTTATCTTTAATGAATATCCAGAAACTTACAACAACTTCTCTTTCCATGAATTTTCCTTTCAAAGGAGGAGAGTTATATTCTTTGCAATATTCAACCCAGGCAGAACTAATGACCCAAGGGCTTCATGCTGGTTTATTTTCATGGAAAGCTTCTCATAATTTGAAACCACATAGAGTCACAAGCATTTCAGAAGATACAAGCCAAAAAGTGCAGGATCCTATGACTTCAACATGAGGGAGGTTGTTAGCTGGTGGGGGCTTCTTGTTCAGGACCAGGGTGGGCTATTCTATTATGGCATAACTGACCCTCCCTGACGATTGCAGAGAGACAGCAGGTGAGGAGAGGAGAAACTGAAGGAGGAAGGAAGGCAGGGAAGGAGGAAAAGAAGCAAGAGCTAGAGAAAAAAGAACAGGTGGCTAGAGGAGAGATGATGTCCATGGGACCCAGACATTCCCTCTTTCATTTGTAGACAACTATTTTCCCTTAAAACAGTCACCAGAAGGCCATCATGATCAGGTCCTCCCCATTTGGCTACTGTTTAACACCTTTAAGAAAGCTTTACAACTTTTATAATTTGAGAGGGTCATTCTCTACCTCAAAATGTAATCTAAAGGGTTTGTGCTCTAAATGCATCTTTGTGAGAGAGTATCAACCCATGAGAGTTCCCTTCTGGTATTTTTGAGAGCCACAGTAACACGAAAGTAAGCAAAGTGATAATAAATGGATAATCGAGCACTTAAGGAGGAATAGCTGGTGCAGTGTGTATTACAACTGTATTCAAACTGGTCGAGAGGGTAGTCAGCCTCCTGCCTCAAACCAAAATGGCAGAAATGAGACAAGTGCGTTTTTCCTTCCGTGTCGATGTCCCCTTCAATATTTGGATGTCCGCACATATTTGAAATTCTGTGACTCTTACTTTGGCATATGGTAGCCTGTTTGTGTTTGCAGATATTTCT